AACAAGAAGAGAAGAAAATATAAGGGTTAAAACTCAAATGTATATTTTACTGAGAATCTAAAATAAGAGTTACAATTGGAATAAAATACTCTCTGAATTAGATAAGATTCATCTATATATTACGATAATAATAAATAATCATTAATAATTGTCCCATTATTTTACAATATAATAATTGTTTTTTTTTTTTTTGCCCTTTGCACAACGAAAGTGCGAAGTCTACAACTTTTTCTTCCTCTTTTACACTCGCGCACACACAAAAATTCAATTGGATGTGCGCGTGGGAGGAATTGTACGGTTTTACAAAATGTGACCCGGTTGAATATCTCTACCGGTATCACGCTTTACGCGCTGTGGGGAACGCGACATTTAGCACACGTTTGTGCCAGCTGCAGCGTCACCTTCCACCACGGACTTGGAAATTGGGACTTTGTTCTTGTGTTTTTAATTGCCACGTTTTCAATGCTTCTATCATGAAACTTTGAGAAATTATCACCCAAAGGAAAAAAAAATGAATTTTGGAACGGTGATTAATGAAAAAATGTGTGGTTGAAAGTAATGAAAATTTTTAAGTTTGTGTGTAATATTATTTTATTTGAAAAATATGTGGTTGAAATGAAGAAAGAGAAAATAAAAATAAAAATGAAAATGTATGTCAAATAGGGCATATATATTAATAGATAAAAATGATCTAATCTCTATGGTAATGTCCATAGTGGCAACACCAGATGTTGTCACGTCTACGATGGACTTTATAATCCATTATTGAACCTTGCTACATTGACAAAAACTAGTCAAATTCTGTAACATAATGCCCGTCGTGGAATTAAAGTATTGAACTGTTTAAAAAATAATCAATTTTTACGCTCAATCATACACTTGCCAACAAATTGTCTATCAAGAAATCTAGCAACATTTCTTGTAAAACGACTTAAACTCTTATATTTACTTAGTTCAAACAATTATTACTATTATTTTTGCATCCAAAAGATTCAATTGAATTGAAACCGGAATCAACACAAAGTCGAGATACTTTGTTTTGGCAATCAAACCAACTATGCCCGTCCAGTTTTCAAAACATTGAAGAATAAAAGCAAATATATTGGCCATAACTGTTGATAAAGTAGATGAAAATCAGCCAGATTTTCTCTGCAGGATCAATAGTTTGAAATTGAACATACTAAATCAAGGAAATAATCCCCATTTAACCAATACATCAAATTTCATTGCCTGAGAAAAAGGATTCCATAACAGAACAACAGTTTGTAACCTCCTAATTAAATATATTTAAAGAACATGAACATCCAGAGATCGACTTCTTATCATCAACCCAGCACGACGAAAACAAATCTGAAAAAAAAAGCTAGAAAAGAAAATTACAAGCTCCATCTCTGACCAGTACGAGAATTGCATTGCCCATTTAGAAGCACTTTCTGTGCACAATTGATGGCCCGGACTCGTCGTATTCAGCCTTTGCAATCCACATCTACAAAAGAGATAAGAAAACAACTAATTTAGAAACTGTACGTGAAGTATCATATATGAATAGAAAATGACTCGAGCCAATGTTTGAACCTGCTGGAAGGTGCTGAGGGATGCCAAGATGGAGCCTCCTATCCATACACTGTATTTCCTTTCAGGAGGGGCAACCACCTTAATCTTCATGCTGCTTGGAGCTAGGGCAGTAATTTCCTTGCTCATTCTGTCAGCAATGCCTGGAAACATGGTCGAACCACCACTAAGTACAATATTACCGTAAAGGTCCTTCCTAATATCCACATCACACTTCATGATGGAGTTGTATGTGGTTTCGTGAATGCCTGCTGCTTCCATTCCGATCATTGAAGGTTGATAAAGAACCTCAGGACATCGGAAACGCTCAGCGCCAATTGTAATAACCTGCCCATCAGGCAACTCATAGCTCTTTTCCACAGAAGAGCTAGTTTTTGAAGTCTCAAGCTCCTGCTCATAGTCAAGGGCAATGTAAGCTAACTTTTCTTTCATGTCTCTCACAATTTCCCGCTCTGCAGAGGTGGTGAAAGAGTAACCACGCTCTGTGAGGATTTTCATCAAGTGATCAGTAAGGTCACGACCAGCCAAGTCGAGACGAAGGATAGCATGAGGGAGGGCATACCCCTCGTAGATGGGAACAGTGTGGCTGACACCATCACCAGAATCCAGCACAATACCTAAGCAGGAAATATGATAGCACATCATCACGCGTAATTAGCCATAAAATCAGGTAACAAGCCTCCAGCACATAATAAGCAACAATTCCACTAACACAGGTTTCTTAGAGAATCAAATAACATTTATAAATAGGTTCTCAATACTACATTTTGATTTCTGAAAAGCCGGCTAGGAAATATCTGTCTGATCGAGTTGAAGACGCATATACTCTTAAATTGAGTCTCGTTTGCTAAAATAAGTATCAGGGAAAGGCCATTATTGAAATACGAGACATCAAGGCACATAAAATGTTTTGTGATTAGTGATAATTTCATTGAAATCTGGGGCATATCAACTTGTGATGCCAATTTATATATATATATATATGGTCAGCCTCATTGACCCACTTAACTATTCTTATCATACAGAAATCTTAATGTTTTGAGCACAGCTTCTGACTAATCTCAGATTTTCTTCTTCGATCCATTTATATCAAATGACTACAATATCATTATCAGAAATTATAAACTGATTAAAATGCAACAGATGCTTACCGGTTGTACGACCACTAGCATACAGGGAAAGAACAGCTTGAATAGCAACATACATAGCGGGGGTGTTGAATGTCTCAAACATAATTTGAGTCATCTTCTCACGGTTAGCCTTGGGGTTGAGAGGTGCTTCAGTCAGAAGAACCGGATGCTCTTCTGGGGCAACACGGAGCTCATTGTAGAAAGTGTGATGCCATATCTTCTCCATGTCATCCCAATTGCTCACAATTCCATGCTCAATTGGGTATTTTAGGGTTAAAATACCACGCTTTGACTGAGCTTCATCTCCAACATAAGCATCTTTTTGTCCCATGCCTACCATTACACCGGTGTGACGGGGGCGGCCAACAATGCTAGGGAACACAGCTCTTGGAGCATCATCACCCGCAAATCCAGCCTACAAGCAACACAGAAGTCTCTATCAAACTCAACAAAGAGAAACAGGGTAATTTGGCAGCAAGAAATGAACAGATATATTTGCAACACTATGGATAAAGAGACTTCAGAGTATACCTTAACCATTCCTGTGCCGTTGTCGCACACAAGTGGCTGAATATCCTCTGCATCTGCCATCTTATACTACTTCCTGACTGAAAAACCACAGCTTCAATAAGTGAAGAATTGACTATCCTTTCACTGATTTTTTGATAATTTATTTTCATGATAAAAGAGTATCTTGGGGATTTAACATCCAGATGTATGTTATAGTCACTCGTGATGCATAAAATAGAGGTCCAGAACAAAATTGAATAAAAGGAGCACCATCTTGTCTAAATGATACAAATATAAGCAGATGTCAACTATCAGATATGCCTCATTTATCTCCTCAAAATTTTCAACATAATGCACTGTTGACATATGAAACTTTGTGTGTCCACCGCAACAAACTTAGGAAAATAATCAGAAATGGGTAAATTGATGCACATAAAAACGTGATTGACACAAAAACAATCGAGAACAATGTATAATTGCAGAAACTCCTTTGTGAATAGCAAGAAAATATTTAATCATGCACAATTGAGACCTAAGTTGCACAGACAAACTAACACGTGATTTTTCTAAAAATTAGGAATTAGAACACTAGGGACACATCAATTTATATTCATAAATTATATCCTTGTTTTGAATTTTTAATATAAACATGCAGCACATGGCACATTGAACACTTTCTTGAAGGGTGTCTCTAAAGCATCTCTGGATGGTCCGTAATATAATAAAGTGTATAAAAATTGGGAGAAGGGCACGTGACTTGTTGGATACATGCCTTTAAGCGTCCGAGGGTTATCAGGAGTCTCCATGCATCATAGATTCATAGTTGAGGACCCTTGGAAAAAATCCATAGTTAAATGGATCAATCACATAGATCCCTTTAACCGTGAGAAGATAAGGAGAAAAGTATTATATAAATACATGTGCCAGTCTTCTTCATTTTCATTGATACAGATAGAATTATAATTGTAAGATTTTGGAAAATTAGACCACAGAAATCAAATTCAACAACACACACAGAAGAATGAAGAAATAGGAAAGATCTATAACACCCATTAAAAATCCAACATAAATCAACATCACGGTTGAAGATTTAATGGTTGTAACCAATGCTAGCATTACATTTCTTATGTACTCCAAGTGATGTTAATCACGGTGTTCACTATATCAGTAATTGTAGAGTAAGAATTTATTTTAGCATTGGTTATCACAACCATTATATCTTAAACAATGATCTTGATTTATGTTGGATTTTTAATGTTGGAGTACACAAGAAATGTAATACGGTCTGTACCGTTACCTCCACAAAGGATTGAACTAGAGAAAAGAATTTCAAAATCATATGAAAAATATACTAATTCAACGTACTTTTACAAAATTAAGGTAAACAATCAAGGAAAATGCCACTCAAAACACGATGCCAAATGACGTGCTGGTCACACTACATCGTAAACTCAGAAATCGAACAAAAACCAAAATTCATAGTAGAAAATACAATATTATAAACAACATGAATACGGATTATCCAGCTTAACTCAATTTATGCGCAGATCAACAGTGGCATTAAACAAAAAACACAAATGAAACCAAAAGAAACGGGAAACAATGGGGAATGAGTAAGTAAATACCTGGATTGGTAAATGAATGAAGAGATGTATAAAAGAAAATATAAATGAAAAGGAAAACTACCAAATGGAAAAGGTAGATTTGAAGGGGAAAAGAATGAACGAGAGAGAATTAGTTGGCGATGGATGAGGAGAAGACGAAGGAGAGATCAGTGACGCAGATAGTGAAATTGAATGGGTTTTCAAAATCGCACAAATTGAGAGGGTTATATGAAGAGAGTGGACAGATCTCAACTGTCGGATTCTCCTCCAATTCCTACGCTCTGGATGCACGGGGACGGGTGACACGTACTGAGGTAGAGGGTTGCTGGGGAGGGGCGGGGCGCGGGGGGGGGGGGGGNGGGGGGGGGGGGGGGGGGGGGGGGGGGTTTGATCAACAGGGGTCGAGGCCAGAACAGTCACTGACCCAACCAAATTAGAGAAAATTTCAATTAAGATACTTGTACATCACTTTTCATTGTTTCAACTTTATGATTGACATCTAATGTATAGAAATCGAGGTCATTGATTGTCTTGAGTATTGTTAAAATTAATAATAAACTTGTGTGTCACGTTATGAAATGTTTTGTAGCCGGTCTATTTAATTGACCCAGTTTGCAGTTTAATTTTAGAATTGCAATTTTCGAATATTTGAAAAGATTCTTGAAACCTTTGAAGTATTTATATAATATCGTTTCCAATTAGCAAAATCGTTAAAACAATAAGGTCGTAATGGTGAGTTAAAAATAATTGCACGGAATGAGTATAATAAATTTATTCTTGATCGTAATCTATTTTAGCTTATTTTCGATATATATTTCTCGGTTGGCATCGTCCCAAAAGACTAATGACCAACTATGCAGTGCATATATATATAATGAGTTAGCTTTCCAACGCATTTTGAATCGTCTCAATCGGATATCGGAATACAAAGTTATGATAAAAATACTGAAAGAAGGTGCAGCTGCCTGTTTAAAACAAGAAATTTCGTTACATAGTCC